GCCGAGGTGTAAATACATATAAGGTTTTTTTTTATATACATATATTTTTATTTGGTGTCGTTCCGACTCCCATTTATTGGAGGAACGACTCCCAAATCCCCCCGGGGGATTTCTTTTTTTTTTAATTTTTTTATTATTTTTTTTGGAGTTCCGACTCCCAAAATAGTCGGACCCTTTGGAGGTCCGACTCCCAAATTTTCGGGGAAAAAAAAATATAGGGGGATCGACGTCGAGAGGACCGTCCGCAGCCGGTCCTCTCGACGTCCCAAATATTTGGGAGTCGGAACTCCAATATTTGGGAGTCGTTTAACTAAGACCCTAAATTAAAATACCTGATGAAATCAGGAGCTATGTTGTGCATGAAAAGCACGGAAAGTGTAATAATCCACCACTAGGACTAGCACACTAGACTTTTAATAAAAAACAAAAACAAAAAGGTCAGATTATTATGGTTAACAAGAGAAAGAAAGAGACAAAAATAAAGCAATATATATCAGATTGTTGATAGTGATACTCACTCTTGAATTGAGGAAGATGTTGAAGTGATATGAAAAAGGGAATGAGGATTGGAGTTGATGGTCAACAGGATTGAAGTTGATGGTCAATAGGATTGGAGTTGATGGTCAACAGGATTGAAGTTGATGGTCAATAGGATTGGAGTTGATGGTCAACAGGTGTTCTGTATTGTGTCTTGACTGATGTTTGTCTCAAAGGAGCCAATTCTGTTTGGAGGTTCTGTTTCAAGAGAGTCGGTCCAACAAGTCGGTTTGGTTTTGTATGATCAGCCGGCTTCGTCACAAGGGAGCGAGTCAATTTTGTTTCCAGCAAGCCGGTTCCGTTACAAGCAAGCCGGTTTTGTCACAAGCGAGCCGGTTCCGTTACGAGTGAGCCGGTTTTGTCACAAGCAAGCGAGTTGATTTCGTTTGCAGCAAGCCGGTTCCGTTTTGAACTAGACGGTTCCGTTACGAGCGACTCCGTTTCGTCACAAGCGAGTCGGTTTTGTCACAAGCGAGTCGGTTTTGTCACAAGCAAGCCGGTTCCGTTACGAGTGAGCCGGTTTTGTCACAAGCAAGCGAGTTGATTTCGTTTGCAGCAAGCCGGTTCCGTTTTGAACTAGCCGGTTCCGTTTTGAACTAGACGGTTCCGTTACGAGCGACTCCGTTTCGTCACGAGCAAGTCGACTTTGTTTCCAGCAAGCCGGTTCCGTTTCCAGTGAGTCGATTTTGGTTTGAACAAGCTAACCGAGACCTTTTTCAAAATCGTCGCTAACTTTGAATGTGCTGTAAAACACAAGCGTTCTCCCTGCAATAATGATGAGAGTACCAGAGGCAGTTAGTTGATCAAGTCCACCAACCACCGGAGGGAGACCAGACTTCTTTAGAATACAGATATCGCACCTGAGACGTTCCAAACAAGGTGATTCCTGTTCTTTGTCTTGACTGAGAATGAACAATCCAAATAGTTTCCTCTGTTTTGTATTGGCCTGACGTTTGGTGTCGAGAAGATTGATGTTTTTGATGAAAGGATGACTTGTCGAATTTCGACCAGGGGCTGTATTTCTGAGGTTATGTCAGGTGATATGGCTTCTTTTTTTTGTTTGTCAATTATGTAGATTATATTCTTAAGGTTTTTGACATACAAAAGTTTGTCGGATGAGTTAGTCTACCCCCAAGAGGATTTGCAGACTGATATTTTGGAAAATTATTATCAATTACAGTTGCGAGGAGAAACTTCTAAGCTTTGGCCTGATCAATAAGATCAGGCAGGTCTGTAAAAATCCGAGACCAAACATCAAAAAAGTTTGGAGGGAGCGTCAGGATTTCAAATCTTGTGACGCTCCCACCAAAACAGGAGAAACTCAGCACCTGAGTTCATCGACCTCTGGCCCAAGTCTCCCCTGCGGGGAGTTCCCTTCGGGAACCGCCTGGCCAGCGCTACGCTGCCAGATGCGCCCGCCGCAGCCAGAGACTTGCGATAAGTTCGAACCCAATTGAGCTCTGCTTTGCGGCAATCAAGCAAAATCTACGGGCCACACAAATTTTGAATCGAACTAACGACCTCGAATGGGAGATCCGCCAAGTTGCAGCTGAAATCATGACGGCAGAGCTTTGCTTCAAGCTCTACCGTTGTAAGACTCAAAAGTGGTTGTGAAACCCTTTTGCTGAATTGAGAAGGGGAAAAATGGAGGTGCAAACTCTGCCCTTCTATACTATCAGAAACAAGACCCCCAAGCTTAGCTTGGAAAGTTTTAATAACGTGATAGGATTGGTCGGTTCCGGTAAAACTTTGTTTGATGAAATGTGAAGGTTGAATATATAATTGCTTATAAAAGAAACTGTTATGTTGTGTAACAGGTGAAAGGTTTATATAATTGTTTGTAACTGGTGTGTTATATATTGATTGACTGCTGAGTGATGAACTGAGTGAATGAACTGATGAACTGAGGAGACAACAAATGGGGGGAAGAGAACCTCCTTTTATAGACAAATGTGAGGGAATTTAGCTCCAGGACAGACAAGAAAGAGTGATTTTAGCTAGTCTGATCATGCAAGTGAGGGAAATTAACCAGTGAGGCTGTGTACAATTAATGTCAAAGGCTGTGCTGCAGTGCGTAAATAATGTGAGAAAGTGTCAAATGAGGCAATAAAGTGTGGGAAAAATCCAGCTGTTGTCATAAATGAGGTGAGAACATTAATAAACTGTGGGAAAAGTAATTCAATCAAGACTGCGCAGCCTGCAAAGGCAGTGCATGAGGTGACAAATAAAACCAAACTAATTTATGCGGTGGAGATAAAGAGGTGTGGGAAATTATGTGTATACCGTGAGCTGTGTATAAGCATAACTGAGAGGTGATTTGAGGGTTGTGACATGTGCTTGACTGGGTATTGGCTTGTGATATGTGTCCGTAGAGGTGTAACTTCCAATCCGTGAGGGTTCCATTGATGCGTCCAGTGGTGACCTAGGCTGAAATTGTCCGTAGAATCCATTTCTGAAGTTGTATTGGTTGATTTCTGATTGGATATATGAGAAAAATGTATATAAAGAAAAAACTTTGAATTTTTTACATATTTAATTACCACACCGTCATTGCGGATACTGTGTCCCTGAAAACTGACTTGAGATCCCTTGCTACGATCTTTCATTTCTCTTCGATCACTGTATAACAGGATGTGCAACTGTTTCTTTCAACTTTCTTTCCTCACTGTAAACTCTATCAGTATCAACAAGATTGTTCTTTTCTCTTTTCACGTTCAAAGACTGCCTCATCAATGACATTGCTTATCCCTTGAAACCAACCAAAGAATTGCAAACAGTCTCCTAGCAATCTGTCTGCCTCTCATCCTCATCATCCTCTTCACACTCGTCTTCATGGCCATCCATCGCTGTTCGATTAACTCTTTGCCTCTAGACAATATCTCTTCAACCACTCAACTCCAATAGACGATATCTCCTTCGACCACTCGACTCCGACCTCAACTCATCGTCGAGGGATTTCAAGAACCTCTTTGCATTGAGAACGTTGCTCTTTGCATTGAGAACGTTGCAAATCGCATTGAGATAGTGATAACGCTTCAGCGCGAGCCAGGAACTGGAAGAACTTACGTTAGCTTGTGAAGACAGACAGCCAGTTCATAAGTTAGTCGCGCTCGCCCGAGGCTTGATCGACCGGAAATCTTCAGCCGGACCTTGCTCAGATAGGGTTTTGGGATAAGGTTAGATTGGTATTGCACTGGAAAGTTGGCGTTAGTTTCGCGGGTAGTAAGGCAGATGTAGCTTTGCACCTCAGAGGTTCCAGGGATCCTTATGAACTACTCGGCAGCGGCGCAGGTTTTGCTAAAGTTTGGCGCGGCAATGTCAAGATCTTGTTAGGGCATCAAAACGAAGAGGCGACCAATTGATCATCGGAATACCCAACCTCAAAGATCACATCAATAATGCCGCGACGGGTTCGGCTCCAATGGCTACGGCTACACCCGCCGCCAACTATAAGCGGGTCTATCAACGCCGATCTCAAGGGTCGGGATCCGATGAGAGCGATACCAAAACATTGAGTCCAAGAGAAACTGAATTCATCAAGATCGTTGGCAAATTGACAAACCGTGTCAGGTGGGGGATGGGGATCGATACACGCGAACAAAAGACAAAGAGATGATCAGCCGTTTTCACAGTGCTGGAGTAGGAGGATGAAGGCACATACAATGTCGCACAGTGTCGAGGTCAGGAGAAACGAGCACTTTGGCTTCAAGGCCGGTCAGCTTAGACGCTTCGACGACATACAGGGATTTGTCAACCACGATATCGATGACGGCTTGGCATCGACACATCCGCCGAGCTTCTGAGCAAGGTGTCCATCGACTTCAATCTGGCGAGTCGGCCGGCCCGAATAATTGACGGACCTGATGGCTTGGATGCGGCCAAGTTGACCTTGATCGACGCCGGCAGAAGGACAGACCGACCGTTATCATAGTGGAAAAGTGTATCAGCTAAGCCAGCGACAGCGATAGCGGCCTTGTTCCAACGAATCACAAGCGGCCTCATTCCAACAAATCTGATTCGAGCGGCCTCGTTCCAACAATTCAAATTCTAAATTGGATTGAAGTGCGATATAATTTGAATCCTTTCCTGCTTAAATCGGTCCTCCAGTTGCCTGTCTTTCATATCCTGTTAAGCGCAACTTCCTCTGAATTTGCATATCAAATTCAACTTAGACGAAACCAACATTTGAAGCTGATCGATGTCATACAGAATTACAATAAAGACAGCAATCTACTCATTTGAGTTAAGAAATAAAAAGATGGGAAAGATGATGTTGAATGAGAAAATGGACTTAAGGCTAGGTTCTTGATAAAGAAAGACAGCAATCTACACATTTGAGTTAACAAGTGAAAAGATGGAATAGATGATGTTGAATGGGCAAATGGACTTAAGGCTAGGTTCTTGAACTGATAATCACAGCAAACTACACATTCGAGTTAAGAAATGAAAAGATGGAAAATGTGCTATTGAGGAGCCGGGCGCTTCTCGAACTTCTTAGTGTTGTCTCTTAACTGTGTGATGATGCCAGGGGTTAAGCCCCAGTGGCTCATATCCTCTCGAGTGATGCTGTTCGATTGAAAGAACTTTGGATTGGTGACATCCTTCTTGTTGAGGATTCTCAGGACCTCCTCTTTCTTAGTCGGTTTGATTTTGACAAAGTCAACATACTCTGCCATGAGGTTTTCGTCTGGTTCCACTACGGAGGAGTTGTCCGATTCCGATTCCTGAGTGCGTGATGAACTTTGGTAAGTTGGAGGACTGGCATTATTGATGGTGCTGTGAGATAGCTTTCTCTTCTTGTAGGCAGAGAGTTTTTCAAACTTGAGTTCTGGTGGGGGTGAATGAAGAGTAACCCCATCAACAGGTTGCATCTAAATGATTCAAGTCAGCTTTTTATTTAATTTGGTATTGCATCTTTTTATAGGAGGGCACTCACAATAGCATGTGCCCAAATTTGGACATTCTTCGCAGTCAAGGGGATGTACTGGCTGTGCTCTGTCGGATGGATAAACACCGGGATCCTATCCAAGTACTTGGTGTTGGGTGGGTGTAATGCGTAAATCTGATCCATTATTACATTGACTGCTTTGAAATCAGTGGCTTTTGGCGGTCCATTTTGATTTCCAGTTGCTGATGAGCTCCCAGCTTTCTGGGCCGCATGCTGAGTCAAAACATGGGCTTTCATATCAACCGCCACCTTCGCTTTTTTTGCTATCGATGTTGGATTGACCATGTGGACGTAAAGACCGGCATGAGTGTGATCAGCGTTGAGATCTTTCATAGTCTTGATCCAATGATCATATGACTTTTCTTCGTTTACAGTATATTGAAGGGCCTTTTTGAACTCCGGTGCCGACTTGAGAGCCAAGGAAACCTTCCAGTTGATGCGGGGAGATCCAGTTTCGACTGCGTTGTTGATAAGTCCACCAGCATCATCCACAAGCTTGTTGGCCTCGGTGGCAACAAGGCTTTGAAAATCCTTGAGGCTTAATGATCCTATCTCAAAGACTATTGGAAAAACATTCTCTGGTTTAACAGTGTTCCACCCCGGTTTGTCCTGTTTGGGGCAGTACAGTAGGAACGTAGTGCTGCAATGCACCATCTGGGGCTGCAGGATTAACAAGAATTTTTAGTTTCTTAAATACAAACAAACATTGGATGTAAAGCACTCACAGTAAGATTTGCCGGTTGAGGACCAATGCCATGGATGCGGTAGTTCTCTGCGTCGGTGTGGTATCCCATTCGTGGTGGTGGATTCTCCCTTGCAAAGAGGTCAATACCAAATCGTGACATGTTGTAACTGGCAGGGTTGGTTGTTTGATATGGGGATTGTATTGAAGTTTGGTCTGGAGTGGTTTGGAGTGAGCCGTTGATCATAATTCAACATTACAGTGCTATCATAACCGATGATGACATCATAGGATTTTGATGCCATAATCTATAATTAAATTTCATTTAAAAATCCCGATTTTTTTGACTTTGAGTCCAAGGTTACTTCAAAACACAATACTAGAAAAGGATTAAGAATCAGTTTGAATTATTGGACTGATAATTTGTTTTTGCTGAAGGATATCATTGACACACGTCCTTGTTTACAAATGGGAACCACACAGAGTCAACTGTCATAATATCCTCGATTTCGGCCACTTCACGTTGGAAAGCAGGTACTAGAAGTCCATCAAAGGAGTCGGCCGGTTCATCATCAATCTGATCAATTGCAACACCAAGTAAGTTCAACCAGTCCAGCTCGTCCTCCTCATGTTCACTCTCGCCATCTTCAAACAAACTGATTGGAACCACATCGCTTTCATCATCGGTTTCATTCACTAGAGGTTCGACTTGCTCATTGGAACAAACGGGGTCGTCACATATAGGTTCTATCTCAATCTGTGGCTGGTTTGACTCGTGTTGGTTTAAAGTCTCATTCGCAGCGATCCTCTCTTTTTGTCTCTCAATACGCTCTTCATCCAATCGAACAAGGTTTAGATGTCGTTTACCGCGTGCATGCTTCTTTTGGTTGCTGGTGCTCTTTCCACGACAGAGGATACAACTGAATTGGTTTGATCCCTCCTGAAAAAAGTCTATTGCAAAAAGTGTGTCAGTCTGGTGAAATTTTTCATCTCTTTCCACATCAATTTAATTTCCTCTCACATTTATCCGGCGGCATGTTTTCGGCTTATTGTTTTTTTTTTTCTCTTGATCGGGATGGCTGGATTGGATTGTAAGTCTTTTGTTGTGATGTTTGAATTGAATTTTGATTGTTGACCGTTGACTGTTGACCTTTACCAAATTGTGGTTATAATTGTTTCTGACATCAACCTTGAACACTTGATATTTAAGACCGCGTCATCATCAATTTATGTATCTCGATCTTGTTCACGAACAAACCACAGCTTCTGATAGCACCATCATCGAACTGACCTTTTCCCTTCATTCTTAATCTCACTATGGACTTCAACGATCCAGTTTTTGGAGGTGATGGTGATCCAACTGCTTCTTATTGTCCAGATGAAGAAGACGAATCCCCTCCCCACTCCACTCCTCTTCCTTCCTCTCCTCAACACTTGCCAGAGTCCCAAAGATCATCGAAGCGTGCGAGGCAAGCATCCCTGGAGTCAGGCAACGAAGATGAAATCATGTGCGATACCAATACTCAACTCAACTTTTCTCGTTTGCCACCATCGACCCATATGAATAAAGTCTGCTCTGCACTTAAAGCCCTTCATCATCTTGATGATGAGCATGATAAGATTGCTCACAAAGCGAGCACCGTAAGTCATTCCGATCTTTCACATCAATCATTTTTCTCTCCAAAATGCTAACATCTATTTTTTCTCCAGTGTCCCACACCCGAGAGGCATGTGAATGTGATGTATGCTCTTCTTGCGGCCCAACAACATCAGGCCTCAGTTTAAGCATCTGTCCCATACGGTGACACATTCAAGGTGAGGTCAATCTCATTACATTCTCACATCTCCATTCCGATTCATTTTGACCTCCATCAATCTTGCCAACAAGACTTTTGTGAGGACAAATGCCAGAATGTCGTTCCTCATTCCGACTCTTGAGGCTTACTCAAACAATCCGAATAAAAGTGGGGCACTCCCCAAGAGTCTGTACTACCTTTTGTTGGTATGATATCCAATTTCTTACCCGATTACCTTTCCTGGTGACTTATTGCTTTTCTTTGACCAGGATGCTGTTCACAAACAGCCTGACAAGTGGAGAGACGACAACCTTCCTCCAAAACAACTCAAAGGGGAGGCGCCAGCTATGAAAATGTATGCTCAAGTCGTTGGCAAATTGTTAAAACACCAACGAAGTCACCTTCGTGTACTGGTGAGTCAGTCTTTGTTATCTTCTAACTCATGTTGGTGAATGAAATTCAATCGAATTCCATATTTCCAATGCTTAGATTCTGAACAACATCCTCGAGACCAAAAGAATTGAGATTACAGGTCCAGTCCCTAATCAACATGCGTTGGCCACTTCGGTGAGGGTCTTTCCCATCTACTTCTGGCTTCTGAAATGAAAGCTAACTCGAGTTTTTTTGTGCTTTGTTTTGCATGCTTGCTTTACAGATCTATTCTGACCTCTCGCCCGAAAACCAAAAGTGGACTGAAGAACAGATCAAGACCCGAGTCGAATCCAACTGGCTCATGTGAATTTGTATGGCCTATCTTCGACTCGTTCTTGTTTACTACTACACTCACCCATCATCAAAGGGTACACAATGGGGTGCAATTGACGACCGACTTGCAATCCTCCGGAATTCAACTTCTGAGTTTCAAACCATGTACGTCATATTTCTTTCTTTTTCCGATAAGTGAGTTGTCCTGACATGTCTTTTTAATCAAGGCATTCAACCCTTGTCTTAAAAAAGGATAAGGAGCTATTTTCACATGGAAGGTACGTCAAAAAGATCCCAAAGGAACACTTCACTGTTCCTTCCGTCGATGATGTCATCATTGCCCTTTCTGAAAAAGAAGCGACTCGAGAAATGCGAGCTTTGCAAGCATCGACTTAACTTGACTCATCTTCTCATTTCCTGCCTTTGTTTCATATTCGTTATTTATTTCTCTTTTTTTATTGACCCTTTCTCTGTACATGTTCAAAAACCTGATTGCTATCAGATTAGCGAGTGTTTTCAAGCAATAAAAGCAACTTCCAGCCTGAACGTTGCATCCTTGCGCTAGCCTACACCCTGAGCGGCCGACAGTGAGTGTACTGCCAGCCGCAGGGAACTGTTTCTCCGACGAGCTACGGTTGACAGTTGACTGTACGGTATTGTCAGCAGCTGCCGTCGAGCCACCACTGGCTGTTCCTGCAAAGCCAACGAATACACTTGACGACAAGCCTTGGTCTGCTCCAGCTGATAATCCTACGTTCACAGTTGACCGCAAGCACTCGCCAGCTGCCATCGGCAGGCCAACATCAACCGTCAGCCCCATGTCAATGTAATGCAGTCAGGTGTAAGAGTCACGTCCGACTCTTCACTATCGTCACTTATACGGAATCAAGACTGGCAATAGAGCCAGGAGAGAACTTTTCTAGAACCTAAGTAAATCTGTATTTCAATGTTCTAGCTCGATAGAATAAAAGGTAAATGTTCTCTCAGTACAAAGTTATAAAATCAAGAAAGGAAAGAAGAAGAAAAAGGAAAAAGAAAGATGAAGAGAGTGAGATGAGAATTGGGTTGACTTACCTAGCTCGATAGAATAAAAGGTAAATGTTCTCTACCGAGCTAGGAAGGGGATGGAGATGGGCGGTTTAAAAGGTCGAATTGGTTGGGAATGATTATGTAATCTTTTGAGTTTGGATTTGTGAAACCCATGTGTGATGAGGTTTCACATTCTCCCCCCCCTATAATGCGAATGAAGACACAGCGAAATGAGAAGGAAAAGATTAAAATAAATTTTGTAAAGAAAATAGAGATAAAGAAGCAAAAGGAATTGGGATTAGAGATGGGCGCTTTGGATCCGGATATCCGCGCGGATGCGGATATCCGGTCTCTTTTTCCGGGGAAAGCGGCATCCGCACCCGCATCCGCACCCCCTGGCGGATATCCCCCCGCCTCAGCGGGTATCCGAGCGGATATCCTCGGATACCCGCCCTCTAAATGGCCGGCGAGGCACATCCTCGCCGGCTGGAAAGGTTTCCTTCCAGCCGGCGAGGTTCTTGTTCGCCGCCCGTTGAAAGGGGGGGATTCCCGGAGGTGCGGCTGGGTTTCCCG